AACATCATGCACATTACAACGTTACACCTGTTTCAGCTTCAAAGAGTATTATTTTGTACAAAAAGCTACAGCAGATGGACCTGGAAAGCAAATGTGTTAAAAGGGCTTCCCCGGCATTTTGTGACCAGCTCCTTTCAGAAGCCAACAGACTCTACTTCACAATCAGATTCCAAAGAGTGATCTGTTGACCAACAGCCTCAGCATCATCCACTTGAGAATGCACAATCCCACCTGAGACCTAATGTTGTGTAAATTTGTTGTATTATTCAAGAATATTAAATTCTGGTATAAAGATCAAGAAAAATGAAACTCATAAGAAGTGATAGTCACTGATGGTAAGGAAGCTAATAGTTTATGAGGTAAAGGCAACACTCAGAGAGACTCGATTAGGTATAGATCATAAAAGCCTATGAACTTCAAAAACAAAGGCAAAATTCATAAGATGTGTTAAGAATATTTAGGTTAGCAAGCCATAAGACATCCCAAATGAAAATACGATAAACAAATGAGAGGTTCACTTGTGGAAAGAAAGGGATAGAAAGCCCAAATAATCATCATTCTATCTCTGGATGGGCAGCTACGTCATCTCCGTGTCAGCCACCCACCGAGGATGCCCAGCCTAATCTATTCCAGACCCACAGGTGCTTTACCCAAGAAACACAAATAAAACTCAGGCAAACAGGCCAAACTACAGCTGTATGTAAGTGTACTTGTACCTACTCTCTTCTACAGAGCAAGAATATATCATGAGCCCAGAGTATTATCAGTATGTAGAGCCCTTGCTCAAAAATCAACTCTGGTCCTCATAACCACACCCTCAACGGGAAGGGTGATATGAAATAGAGTCAGGACACATGAATATTGTGTACCCAGGCCTCCGGTAGTGTGGTCCTTTCAATCTTTGCACCTCAAGTGTGTTTTAACTTACCCTACGGTTTTCCTCTGGCTTCTGGCTGCGTGTTTGATACAGTGTGATTCAAACATTTAATTTGGTTGCTGAGCCTATCTATTCCATAACCTGTAGGAAAGCTGGTAGTGTACATGGAGTCTAATCATTGCATCCAGGTAATTTCCCACAAAATACCTACTGAATCGGAATTCTGCACTTTAAAAGATCTCCAGGTGATTCATAAGCATATTAAAGTTTAAGAGCACTGAGGGAGACTATCTGAAGAAAGAGAAAGATGAAACTTGGATCTCAGCACTATACTCTGAACAGTATCCTGAATAAAAAGTCTCGTATATGCCCTGTGTACCAACTCAGAGTCTCAAAAGAGAGGGAATGCTAAGAGACCCACTTTCAACAGGTATCATGTAAGGTTTAAAGAAGCACTACTTGCCCTTGGGGATTCTCCTTTGAACTCTTTGAGCTCTGTAAAGCTCCATACAGTTTGAATAAACACTCAAAAAATTACAGCGCACTGTATCTTGCCTTATCATTAACCCTATAATCTCCTTCTTGCTGGGAATTAGGAAAATACCCTTTTTCATCTATGCTATGTTTGAAGAGCACCTATCCAAAGTACATAAGGCTCCCGGAAACAGAGAAAGGGTTATGACTTCCTCAAAAAAGGCTGCGGTGACCTTAGAAAGAATATCCAAGAACAGTTTAGCAGAATAGCCTGAGAAGCGTCCTTAATGGGCTGCACACTTCCCATCTTCCAGCGGTTGCTGACCTGATCAGCTCCAGTCATTTTATGTATTTATTACATTTTATTCTATATTGCATTGTTCCTGACACATAGTAAGGGCTCAGTAAATGTTCTGAAATAATGAGGGAAAAAATGAAAAATGTTACCCTTTCTATCCTGGACTCATTTAAGGCAACTTTAATGAACTGAATGTCTTGGTTTTGAGAAATTCCTGAGAATGAAGGCATAATTCCACATCTCAAATTAGCATGGTTCACAAGACTCTCATTCCATATCGCAAACTTGGATTTTATACCTTCCATTATTAATCCCATTTTCGACAACACAATGAAACACATCAACCTATCCATTAAGAAACCATCCATTTCTAAATTTCACCAACAATTATTTATAAGTAATATGCTACACAGGAAAGATCAGCTAATATTCTGAATTTTTTCAGGCCCAGATGTAAGGTATCTTAGGAAAATACCTACTTAAGACATCTATAGAAGAATTGAAATAAAAACCAAGGACATGATCACACATACAAAGATAATAAACAAGACATAAAACAAAAGTCTGAAAGTGTTGAGGATATCTACCCCGGTGAAGACTTAAGATGAGACTATCAGGAAAAGAATGTAAACGTTCTAAAGATCATTTTTGTAGGGAATATGTCACCTATTGTTGCTAAAAGAGGGAGTGTATTTAAATTTCAAAGGAAATAGATTTAGGTTGGAAATAACAATCTACCATCCCGTAAGTGAATCTTTATAAAAAGAATAAGGAAACATTCACAGAGATGGCTCAGCAAATTCCCTTCCAAATGGTCTATCAAATCCTGTTCCTTCCATGCATTTAGCACAGCCAAGGACAGTTAAAGTGCTCATAGGACATTAGACATTTCGGCACAGGTTTTCAGACTGTTACGTGGGTTTTAAATACCAAGTTTAAGAATTGACTCCACCAGCTCACGTAGGAAAGAGGTAAGATTTGTGTGTCTTCTGCAGGTAACAGCATGAAAATACACACATGATAAGCCTTCAATAAATACTTATTGAATTTAATTATTACCACCCTCTGAGGCAAACATCTTAATTGGAAAATAATCTAAACACTACCATCACCACCACAAGTAGAAAAGTAGCTCTCAAAATTTCCAAGTGAATCCACTCACATGCTAAACAATCAGAACAACAACAAAGAGCAATTGTCTTATTCATTACAAAGGGCTAAGAATGACTCTTCTGTTTGCAAACTTAATCCACTCCAACTAGTGCTGCTAACTGCCCACTAAAACTCAGTGCATTATTTTTGTTTCACAAACCTTAATCTTGATCTATGTTCTTGATAGAATGTGTTAAACTTATATATATGTAATCTACTTCATTCTTTGTTGTATGAAATACAGTTTCTTTATTACATGAAAGTTAAGAGGCAAAAATTTTTTTTTTTTTATAAGCAATAGTGGGGGGGGGGGGGGGGGGAATCACTTGAATTTCAGAATATCATACCCCAAACCTGGTTTGTTCACATAAGAACAGCTCTATTTCAATGAGAAACCCTTTAAAATTCACTAAATCTATTACTGTGCAGTTATGTTTTAGGCAGCACAGGACCAAATACCAGGCTGGTGCCCCATTTGGTTGAGTGGGTAGTGTTCGACTTGATAAATTTTCATAAACTGCTATCCCCATTAGGGAGTTAGTCACTGGTTTTAACAAACTCCTTGAAGAGTCCATTTCAGTTATTCCTGCCTTGCTCAATGTGAAACAATTTAATCTTACTGCTTTCTTCCTAAGGGGGGAAAAGATGATGTCCAAAGAAGGGCACTTGGGAAGGAAACAGGCATGGTGAAATTTTAGAGCTCTCTGGTTAGGCTTGCGGGGAAAGACCCCTCTAAGGAGAGAGCCTAGAATTGGGGGAAGGGGGGGAGTAGGTGAGAGGCTCACAAAGGAAAGTGGGAAGGCACAGCAAAGAAACTTAGCTTACTCAGAAACCCACTATATTAGTTATTTTTGTAACACATCTACAATTATTTTAAACATAGTTTAATTTGACATGGCCCATTCTGATCCAGGGCTTCTGTCTTATACTAATGAAATGAAAGTTTCCCTGCTAACACCTATAAATAACTTCAAAGGTTATCACTTTATTTCAAAATAGTATTTCATAATTAAGGCAAAGTCAAATGTCCCTTTTCTTTGTAAATTACAGATCTTACAACCTTATATGTAAGTTTCAAAAGGTAGAAGTAACAACAGTGATTGTAGATTCTTTTAAAAGATATCATATCAAATTCCAAATCTATGATACATACACACACACTGGATAAGCCAGGAGTCCCTAGAAAGTGGTTTCAGACTACACATTCTACCACCACAACCCTCCAGAGTCCCCGAGGAGGGCATGCCACAATCTTAGGACGGAGCTGGGGAACAAGTACACTTTGAAAAACCACTCCAAGGAGATTGTGATATTCAACCCACCACCCCCTGCCCCTATTGCCATTATCAGCTAATAATGTTTCACCACCCGCTACTGATGTACATTGTGCTATTTCTTCTATACCAAATGTTAACTAAGTGAAGTCATTAGAATACAGAATCTGAATTCAACTGGCATTTATCCAGTTTTTAAGAGGTAAAAATATATCCAGGAATGACAAATCAATTTAATTTCCTTTCATAAAATTTCATTTCAGTGCTACATCACAAATCCTTAACTCAAAGCTACTAACAGTCATAGCTTTCCAATTAAAGCATTTAAGTCCGCTAATATATTTCCATGAATCAAACTTTCACTACCAAGTAGCAGTACAAAAAAAAAAAATAAGTTTCAACATTCCTAACAATCCACTTACACTCAAGTAAGAGATAACTCAGATTTTTTTTAAGCAAGTAAATAAGACTATTATTTCAAGGTCACCATAACTCTCCCATTGTACATTATACATCATATCCTAGAGTGTTTGGATTCAGGAAATTTTATTACGTATGGCTAATTTTAGGTAAAATCAGTTAAGGAGGTAATTCTATTTCAAACTAACACTCCCGGTTTTCAGTGTTCATATTATTCACACTCCAGTCCATTGGAATATATCTCACAACCCCCAAACTTCTTCAACTTTACTCTTAGCCAATACTGGTTTGTGCAACCATAAAGCATATTAAGGAAATATGTGGATCTCTCCCAAACTTTTCAAATCACCGGACAACAGGTGTATCTCAACAACCTCGAAATCCTTAGAGCTGTTCAAATCTATGCTGCAAACATTTAGGCCCAAATGCTAAAAAACCAAAGCAAAACACAAACACAAACAAAGTTAGAAAAAACTTCAAAACCAAACTGAGAAGACATACTTACCTTAATTGGAGCACTACTAAACTTAATTTTCCTATTTGCTGGGATGTCTTCTTCTTCTGGCAGTCCAACAATTTCCGAGTATTCCATATCAGGTTGATAGTAATTGTTTTCATCACTATCTTCCTGCTCACCCTGTTCCGTGCTGGTCTCTCCCCAGTCTGAATTATACCTGGATCTTACCCTATACACGTTATAGTCACTGTGCATGTAAACATGGGAACTCTCAAAATTATTTGAATCTTCGGGTACTTCCTTTCCACAACTCGATCCAGGAGCATCAGCAGAGGTAAAATCACCACCTGCAAGTTCCTTCTTCTGATGCATTGCTGCCTCACTCCCAACTAAATTAGCTTCAGCATCTTCTAAAGGTTCGTTCTGTGGGGAAAGGATTTCAGACTCTGGCATTGCCTTATCTGCAGCACAACGTTCCTCGGGAATGTCTCTGTCAATTCTGTCAGGAGTCTCTTGGTTAGATGTGGAGTCGTCGGCTTCCTCGCTCTGCTGTGTTTCTTCACCAGGCACTGAAGCTAGAGAGGTACTTTTCGAAGCCACTTCTGGTAGTGGACTCGTATTACTCTTCTGAGCATCCTCTGCATCGTCACCGTGTTTGGTTGGAGGAGACCAAGAATTCGAATCCTTAAGGTGACCAAAGGTGTCAAGATTTGTAACAGTAACAGATGGTAGATTCAGGGGATAATGCCCAGTCACTGAGTATTCGTTTTCAGCCTTCTCAGAAACCATGGCACTGGGGGAATCGGTGTTCTCAAATACTGCACTCAGTTGACTCACAGTTGGGGAGACAGCCTCTGTCCGGGAGCTAAGGCTGTCCAAGGAATCAGTACTGCCTCTGTTGGACTTGGAACCACCCCATTCATCCTGAGGCTCATTCCCTCCAGCTTTCTCTTTCTTTGGGGAATAGCGGTTGTTTTGCCCTGACTCATGCACACTTCTCTCAAACATCTTCCGAGTCTCTGTGAACTTAGAATATGAAGGGCCATCGTACATTGTGTCAAATCTACTAATTCGTTCTGAAACAGAGGACTCCAACTTAACAACTGAGCCATCTGTTTTTTCCAGGAATTCTTTGGGCCTCACTCTTCTCTGTGGAGATGAAGGTCCACCTTTCCCTCTTGTTTTGGCTATGACTGCAGCATTTTCACTGGGTTCCATACCCATCTGCATAAATAGATTTTTAATTCTGTTGACATTGGAGCCATATTTCCTCCCCCTGCTCTGCTGGGAGCCCTCACCTTCTTTTGATTTTTGTTCCCCATCTGACTTGGGTTTGTCAAAGGTACTTTTCAGCGCCTGGAACTCAGTTCTATATGCATTCCTGTGAGGAGAGGCACTTCTGAGAGTGGTTCGTTCACCTGAAGACTCGGTTTTCAACATTTTTACTTCAGGGGTGAAAAGCCAATGTTCATAATGACCAGGAAAACAAAAACAAAAAAACAAAAACACCTCTCTTCTCTAGTCACCAAGAGAGTATTTGGTCAAGAAAAAGTACCTCTCAAATGGCATACTGTATCAGTGATCCTCCCAACAGGTGTGTTAGGAAATTATTCAGTCAAGAGTTACACAAAATGGCTTTTTCAAAGCAAGACTAGAGGTTCATCTGTAATAGAAAAGAATGAATTTCTGAATTCATTTACTTATTTGAAAAGTTATGTTTAGTCAAGCAATAATACACTTTTCGAAGTGGCTCAGCCATATATCAAACAGAAGAAAATCACTTACTGAAATGGGAATTTAAAAGCCAAGAATTTAAAAGTTATAACTCTCACTGGTCTTTGATAACAAAAATGTTTCAAACACCATTTAGAGATCCCTCTCCAAATCACACACTAATACACACACCAGTTACACATAAGCACACGTTAGCCTAAGTTTTGGTTGCTTTTGTGAATGACCTTAAAAGACACCGGCAGTCCCTAGATCTTTAAGATACTATCAAACTGTCCAGAAAAAAAAAAAAAAAATCAATTTCATTTGGGATGCTCCATATCAGGCAGAATTTATTCTTTCTGGATAAGCACAACTCAAAGTTTGGGATCTAGATTTACAAAGTCCAAACTATGCCTACAGAGGCTTAGTTCACTCTTTCTGGTCCAATATTCTGATGTGTAGCATCCCCAAAGCAACATTCGTACATTTCAGACCAAAACAAGCAGAGGAAAGTTCTCACAAGAAAATAAGTTTCACTCTAAGTTCTGTTACATCTGATATCTGAAAGTTTCCTAAGAGTGGGTACTATTCATTATCGAGTGAGGTGTAGAATATCATGGGAATAAATGTAGGAGAACGTGACGATCAGAAAGCAAATATAACATGAAACCTCCCCTCATAGCCCTGATTTGTTTATTCCTACTTGCCTCTCACTTACTACAAGCTCAGAATGCAACGCAGTGCTTGCTTGCTGGGCTCCACTACCCCACAGCTGGATTTTATATCAATAAGCCAGTAATCAAATACTTCAAGAGCTGCTGAGGCGCAGGCAATGTCGTGCTAAAGATTTTTCATTTTGTTTTGTCTTTTAATATTAGGCCGAGCCATATCACCCTCACGCACAATCAGCTGAGGAAGCACACACTTTCACTGAAGCCACCTCCAAACTCAGCTTCCTGGCCCAGCACGCATGCATGGCCCATGCAGACAAACAAGAAAGGCTTCAGAGTGTGGTGCCTGTTTTTTTGTAAAGCATCGACAATCTCCTTGTACCCTGACATTTGTTTAAGCCTTACACACCCTCCCCTCCCCCCTACACATACACCCCACTCCCTCCGCGGCCAATTCGAACCCGAGGGGGCGGGGGCGGGGGAGATGGGGCCGCCGGGGGACTCAAAACCTGCCCTCACAAAAGACAAACATAAATAACACCAACTTGAGAGGCAGCCGGTTCCCAAGCCTGGTTCGGGACGCAATCCCTCGGCCCCGGGGCAGGGCCGGGAGAGCAGGTGACGCCAAGCGCTATGGTAGGAGGTCGCAGTCTAGCTTTGTGCCAAAAAGCACCTGAAGTCCTAACACATTGGCTGCGGCTCCCGGCGGCTGCCAGGCGGATCCCAGTGTGGCACCGGGAGAGCCGAGCTCCCTGGCCACATTAAAAAAAAAAAAAAAAAAAAAAAAAAAGAAAAAAAAAAAAAAAAAAAAAAAAAAAAAAAAAGGAAAGAAAGAAAGAAAGAAAAAAAAAATTACAGGGTAATGATAATAAATCCCTTTGTTTTTCCTCCCAATGTGCCAGGAAACAATAGATCCCACTGATAATGCCTCCGATCCTCAACCTATCGCTCCCCAACCACAACCCACCCCCACCCCCAGCCTGCAACTCAGCCTTTGTACATCCCGATTTTTTTCCTCTTCATCTCCACCCTCCCCAACTCCTCGCCCCGCGCACAGCCTCCCCCTTACCCGAGCGGGAGCCGCCGCCGGCGGGGAGGGTCGGGCGGCCGCGGCTCCCACCCCCTCCTCAGAGGCGCCCCCCGCCCCACTGTGGCCGCGGCTCTATCCGCGCCGGCCCGCTCGGCGCCCCTCCACCCGCGGCTCACGGCGCAGCGCGGAGGGCGGCTGCGGCGGCCGCTTCTCCTCGCGCCGCGGCCCCCACGCGCGCCCTGCCCGCGGCGGGCGGCCCCGGGAGGCGCGCCGCGCTCCCCAACGCCATTGCGGGCGGGCGGCGGCTCGGGCAGCGGCACGCTCGCCGGTTCGTGCCGGCCCGGGGCGGGGGTCGGGGCGCGGAAGGGGCTGGGCCCACGTGCGGTCACCCGCGCCGGGCCGTTGGGGCCGCCCCGGAGCCGGGGGGTAGTGGGCGAGAGGCCGCGGGGGTGAGGAAGGCCCAGGGTAACAGGTGCCTCACCTCGGCTGATGGGATTAACTCTAGGGCCGCAGAGAGAGGGAGCCCGGCAGCAAAATCCCAGGAGAGGGAGAGAGAGAGGGAGCCTCTGGCGGCCAACGGAGGGCGAAAAGCACCGGCCCGAGGCGAGGCCGCCCCACCCCCTCGGCCGTGGGCTAGGGGCCTCCCCGGCCCCGGGCAAGGCCTGCCCTTCTGGGGCCTGTCCGCCTTTCTGCTCCCGGGGTTGGTTCGACAGAAACTGGGCCATTGGTCCGCGCGCTGTTGGGCCCCCACAAAGTCTGCAGTTAACTTCATGACCCCAGGGCATCTAAAACCCCAGGCTACTCTCCAGGCCTGTTAGGCCCACGCCTAGGCCGCCTTGGCCTTGCCCGGCCTAACACCCACCTTGACCTTAAGTCTCCATTGTTAAAGGAAAAGGATGAAGTCTTCTGACTTGCCCAGCCCCCCGCCCTCCCCGTTCGTAAATGCTCAGCGCCCACTCCTGCCCCCTCCCCAAATATCTTTTTTTTGCGGCAATACAGAACTGATCATGACCTTCAATGTAGGTCTTTAAACCAATCCTCCAAAAACTCCGTAGAGTAAAAACGGCTAAAAGATGGTTTTTCAAGAGGGTAAAACTGTAACTCTCATAGAAATAGAAAATGAAAATGTGTCCAAAATGTCATTTGGCACAGTAATTAGGGAGGGAATCGCCAAATATTACAACCCATTCAAGCAAGGATGTGAAAAAGAGACCTTTAGGGACAAACAGTAAAGAGAGAAAACTGGCTCATATCCTATAAGGCACAGAAATGTAATGTTTTGAATTATCTGTTCTACAGAGCAGTAATCAGTTGTATCGCTAAACAACAAAATAATTTTGCATTTCTATAGATAAGAACATTTACATTACCATCAGTTTCTATAGCCTATAGAATAGTAAAATGGCTTTGTCAAAGGCCAATGGTGCAGACTACTGTAGATAATGTCCAGCCTTCCATTGAAAGGACACGCAGGGATATCCGCCCCTTTCAAAGGCTTACGCCGATTTTTCCAACAGAACCATTATTTACATTTTCCGGATGGGAAACCTGAGGTTTAGGTTTTGTAACTTACCCACAACTTTATCAACTAGTAAAGAAAGTCCGATATGAACTCCAGCGCATCTATACCTACATACAGAATCTCTACTCTGGGAGCAAAATCTCTTCTTGCTTCATTTCAAAAGGCCTTTGTAGCTACTCAGTGCTATGTATCTTTTATTTTGAACAGTGAAATTTTTTCAAGTCTCACCAAATTCTGGGTGCTTTCCCAAGAAATTGGCATTCTCTGTCTACAAGTGGATGTCACTTCTATAAGCATAAACAGATGTAGCAGGCAACGTGAGGGGGCTGTGGCTCTAGTCCCCATTTTGGAAAGAACATTTGTGCTGTCTGGGATAATTTAGTGGAAAAGTTCCTGTCACTTATTTGCAGTATGGGAACCATGTTTTTTTGGAGAATAACCTAAATAAATGCAAGAACCTAATCACTGAGTTCTGTCTGGAGAAGAGGGGGCAGAGTTGGCAATAAAATCAGTCTTACACCTCTCTGCAAAAAGATGATTCATACAGAAAAGCAGCCTAAAGAATTTGGTTGCTTTGGGTTTCTCTTTCTTTTTTCTTTTTCTTTTTTTTTTTTTAATGTGAACCTTCTGGAAAAATTCATACTGGAGGAATGAATGACAGAAGTTTTAAAATATCATGCTGATAATTTTAAGATTTCTGGATTGCTCATTACCTACTTTACACTTCTAACACTTGTCTGAATGTTTCAGGGGTCAGTACTAATCCAATACATGTGGCTATTTAAATTAATCAAAATTAAATACAATTAAAAATTCAGTTCTTTACTCCCACTAGTACATTTGAAGGGCTCGATAGCTGCAAGTGGTTAATGGCTACCATATTAGACAACGTAGATACAGAACATTTCGATCACAGAAATGTCCTTTGGACAGTGCTATCCTGAAAAGCATTTGCATTTCTATAAATTAGAAAAGATATATTGACTTTACAAGGGTTAAAACTTAGTTCAACAGATCATAAATGTATTGGGGATTAAGGGTCATAAGTTTTGCATGTTCCAGTTGGAAAGGAGCTGGAGGAGCATTAGGGTGTAAAAGATGATATTTAGTTTGATATGCAAGGTATACAAAGTACAATGTATGGAGGGAGAGTAATTTTCACATATGATTTCTTTCATAAATCCTGGAGAATACTGTGTGCTGTTATTCTTATTTCCTCTGTAACCATTAATATCATGTTTACTAAAAATGGACCATAAGATCTGTCAATAAAAAGTACAAAATGTGGGGTGCCTGACTGGCTCAGTCAGTAGAGCATGCAACTCTTGATCTCAGGATGGTGAGTTCAAGCCCCATGTTGGGCATGGAGCCTAAAAAAAAAAAAGTCTTTTTAATTAAAAATAAAATGTATTCTACGTTGCTTCTGGGGCTTCCTCAATGTATTCTTTAAGTTTTCATAATGGATATTCTGAGTAACTAGTCAAAAATTAAATTATTCATGTGTGTAAGTGAAACTTGGGGTACAGTTATGAAATTAAGCCTAAATCAAGCCTGAATCAAATGTTAAGACTGAGTTAAATTAAGCTAAACCTGAAGACTGCCTATCACTCCGTAAAGCAGGAAGGCGAAGGGCTAATTGTATATTAACAGAGGGTCACAGAGAGAAAAGAATAGAACAAAGTTAAAGGTCTCTACAGTTTCTTTATGGAATAGGCAAAGTAATGGAAGAGCAATTTGTGTGGATAAGTTTACACATAACTTTAGCATAAAATGATATTTTACTCATACCACTGTTTCTTTACCAATACTCATAAGAAAAATGTGTTGAGGGGTGCCTGGGTGGCTCAGTAGGGTAAGTGTCGGACTCCTGATTTCAGCTCAGGTCAAGATCTGAAGGTTTGTGATTTTGAGCCCCACCTCGGCTCTGTGCTGACAGTTTGAGGAGCCTGGTTGGAATTCAGCCCTTTCTCTCTCTGCCCCTCCCCAACACCACCACCTTGTGCTCTCACTTTCATTTAAGCTCGCTCGCGCTCTCTCTCTCTCTCTCTCTCTCTCTCTCAAAATAAACTTTTTTTAAAAAGTGTTGATAGTAATGAAATAATGAAGCAACTTATTTACCAAAAGTTTATAACCGCTTATTTTCACATTTGCAAATATCAGGGTGCTTTGTCCCTTTCAGATGCAAATGTTGGTATTCAGTTATCTTAAAGGTCCATCATTTAAAATAACCATCCCTATTTAAGGGTAAAAATTTAAGTCTGTCTTACTGTAGGTTTAAAAATTTTTTAATGTTTATTTATTTTTGAGAAAGAGGTGCATGAGCAGGGGAGGGGCAGAGAAGGAGAGAGAAAGGGGCTCAAAGTAGGCCCCACGCTGTCAGCACAGAGTCGATCGTGTGGCTCGAACCCAGAACCATGAAATGAAGACCTGAGCCGAAGTCAGACCCTTCACCGACTGAATCGCCCAAGCACCCCTATCTTACGGTCTTTTAGACTTTTGATATTTCACACACACTCCACTGTAGAGGTGAAATATTATTTCTGTACAATAGTGATAGAGTCTTTAGGCTTACATTCAGAATACATCAGAGATCTCTATGATCAGTCTGATTTTGTGGTACTAGCTATAAAATTAATCTTAAATCAATAAACAGATTTTCTAATCTAGAAGGTGTCATTGCTTCCTAGATAAAGTGATACTGATTCAGCATTGCTTTCTACCTACATTCATGGCTTGGGCATGCCATTGAAAATTTTTACTATAATCCTGATCCTTTTCTTATTCTCCAATACTTCCACTATCTTGACTTTTGAGCCTAAAAGTAGCCTCATGATAGGTTTGGCTATTTACTTTTATTTGCTACAAGTAATAAACTATAGAACTTCTTGGGATTCCTAAAGTCATTTTTCAAGCTGTTATTAATATCTTCATTCTACAAATAAAGCATAATAGATTTACACAGTGTGATTAGGCCAAAGCAATGCATCTTCTCTTTTTCCCGTTTTTTACTTCATGGGGTTGCCCACACAAAACACAATAAACCAAGAGTTTTATTGGACTAGAT